AAAAAAAACATGGGGACACCCAGGATTGAACTGGGGACCTCCAGAAAGGAACAAGGATTGGCGCCACTTCAGTCTGTTGCTCTCCCAACTGAGCTATGTCCCCACCTATCATACCCACGGCGTCCCCTCCTTCGTCTGGAGACGGTAACTATAGATTCTTTTCGCCGCGCATGTCTTTATTGAGGAGTATTTTGTGCTTGATAGATGTCTGGAGCACCCAAAGCAATTCATTTTGTGAAAACACCCGCCCTCGGTCCGAGTATCTGTCCTTAACAGGTCAGATTGATAGACGTGGTGTGGCTGTGCAACGGTCTTTCTTGAACCACCATCATCATGACCATCACTGCCTCAACTTTATTCCTTCGGAGGACCTCCACAACAATTTAGCACCTCCCCCTTCGAACGTTTTAGCGCACCGCGCGCACATCTGATGCCGACCTACGCAGTATCAGTGAATTTCCCCGCCTGGAATCCTACCACAATGCTTGGCCCGACCTCTGAAACGATCTTTTTCTCTTGTTAGTTTGCCTCTGGAGCGTGGAAAGTGTGGATTTGAAATGACATCCAAACATACGCGCACGACATGTGAGCGTATCATCTTGGATGTGCAGGAACGCGAGCGGCCGCAACAGTCTCCAACGTGTGTTGGCCCCTGTCCTACATGTGCTCCCGCTGGTCTAGTGTTTCCTCTATTTTCCGTGATTCTTTGGCTATGAGTATTTAACCGCTATGTTTTTTTGGATGGCTGTATTCTGTGTCTACCGACTTGGATCTACTTTCAGTCTATAGCTCTACGATGAAATTCTCCGCCGCTTTCGCTGCTCTTGCTTCGACGCTCGTCGTGTCGTCGTCGGCGTTCACCATCAACTTCCAGAACAACTGTGGTTACAGTACGCTCGCGCTTTCTCAATTGGTATGCATATAGCCGACTAATCATCATCGTTTCTAGCCGTCTGGGCTGCCATAGGAAAGGCTCCCTATGGCCAACCCGACACGTCTGTCTCGTACGGCGTCCAGTTGGGTTCCGGCGCCTCGGCGTCGTACGGCATTGACGACTACGCTTTGGTACGCTATTTTCCTCCCTCCGTCACCCACCTATTCCTGACCTCCTCCTCCCTATTCATAGGGCATCCGCGCCTGGGCCGTACTGGCTGTGATGGAAACGGCGCCAACTGCGCGACTGGAGGATGCAACGGCGGTATGTCTGAGTCGTTAATCTCTTTGAGCGCGTTCTTATGGCGTTCTGTGCATAGGTCTCGTGTGCAACGACGCCGGTATCACGTCGGGCGTCATCTTGTCTGAATACGGCTACGGTGACTTTGGCGCCTACGGCGGACAGCGCACGGCGTGGGATTTGAGCCGCGTCGATGCTAGCATTAACATTCCGACGACGTTGAGCTCTTCGGATGGCCAGAGCGTTACGTGCTCGACGTCGTCCTGCCCGGATGACCAGGCTTACAGCTATTCTACGGATTACGCGGCCGATAGGAATTCTGCGTTGGGGCAGACCTTCACTCACAAGTTCTGTTAAAGTATTATGATATTTAATGTTTTTGTGGAGTCGTAATAATTACAGTCTAATAACACGGACTTTACTTTCACTTGGACTCAGAAGTTCGGGCCGGGAAACTTGCGGAGTCAAGGTTGATGAGTTATGTACTGCAGCGAAACCTTGTGCGCTCGTTGATTGAGAAGTTTTACGGGCGGCCCGTCTTCATAAGGAGATCTCTTGGATGGCCTGTCAGTTGGACCGGGTCCAAGGCTCGGAGCCAGCGCGTTGACCAGACAAAGGATGGCCTTGTACACCAGCATCGCGCTTTGATCGTGTATGCTGGACAGTAGTGGACAGTATATATACCCTTACTACAGTGCGTACGCCCACTTCACACAACCAGACCTTTCATGCTAAAAGCACACGTTAGTCGTAAAACCCTAAGCAGCCATGAGCGCCCCCTGCGTCAACCTCATGAAGTACTCCCCTTGGAAGCCTCGCTTCAGCGAGACGCGTCCTTGGATTGTACGTTTCTTTCATCATTCGTATCCGTCGCTTGAAATTGACTAACGCTTTCGTCTGAAAACTTACTTCTTACGCGCACGCCGTCAAGAGGCCCCGCGCGCCGTATGATGACCAGGTTATGTCGCTCAAGCAGATCCATGCAGAGGTCGGGAAGCTTGCAGGCGCTACCGCTGAAACCGAAACCCGCACCAATAAATCCACCAGCGGGTAAACATAGTGTAGCCACGAAAGACAGGCATCTGGAATCCGAGTTGAGGTTGTTATGTCTGCGAGTTGATGCCTTGACCATCGCTGTTCGCAGTGAGCATGAGAAATTGGATATAGAGGGTTGTCGAAGGAGATCAGAAGCGCGTCAGAGGAAGTGTTAGAGAGGCGTCGGCACCGCGAGGCAGAGGTCAAGAGGAAGGAGGAAGAGGCGGCGAGTTTGCGCGAGGTTGAAGCAACTAGGAAGAAGGAAGAGGCGGAATCAGAATTGAGAAAGAAAATGGAGCAGGAAGCCCGGGAAAAGTCCATGATGGTTATCATGTCGCCGGAGAGCGCTAGTACACAGTGGCGCAGCCATCGATTGTCGGAACTGACTTTGGTTTTCTTTAGAAGTAGTCGCGTTTGTACAAGAAGCCAGACGATAGGAGTTTCCCTACTAGTAGACGTGGGGTCAGTACAGAAACTGAGATGACCAGGATAAGAATATATGACGATGCCCGTCCTTACCTATGCACGTTTCTAATCTGACGATCAAGTAGTGAAATGGAAACCGTAGCTCTCACTCTCAGCACTGGCTTGGGTCGCGTTGCAAATCTGGGCGCTGAGATAATTCAAACTCCGACCCGCTCTTGTTTCTTTCCTTCATCTCTTGACAATTTGCTGTCTACTTTCCGGTAAATATTCCCGTTACCCCCGTCGTTCCCCGCCGGATGTCACGCCGCGACACGCCTAGAGGAACGTTACCCCGCTTTTACGCCGATGGTCTCAAACGATCGCCTCTCGGCCAGCACTTATATATGAAGTCTGGTCTTGAATGGCTTCTCGGCCGGTCCTATCATGCCATTTACTTTGACACCTGGCGCTCTCTTCATATCCAAGGTTTTTCTGCATGGATGCATCTACGTCGCCGGCTTTTCACTCCTAGCTGGCTACATTCTGCCTTCGCTTTCGAAAGGAAGCTTGGCCGTTCTATCGTTGATTTGCGCGGTGTCTGGCTTGGTCGCCCGGCGGTATGTCGCTCGTTATAGGGACGAGCGTACTGCACGGTCGTTGGGTGCGAGGCTGGCGCCTCGGATACGCGGTAAACTGCCGTTGAACTTTGATGTGCTACTGGCCTTGGATCGTGCCGTTGAATCTGGATATCCATGCGACGCGTTCCAAGATTATGCGGACGAGTATGGCGCAATCTATGACTTGGACTTTGGAGGGTTCTCCTTGCCGACGACGGTATCGCCCAAACATATCCAAGCGATTCTCGCTACGCAGTTTGACAAGTTCGAAAAAGGTGTGTCTCCGTTGCTTTTGAATGAGCATGAAGACGATCTGAAGTGCTTTGTAGGACCTACATTCCGCACCGTCATGAAACCTGTTTTGGGTTCAGGCATTTTCAATGCCGACGGCGACATGTGGAGGTCAATTCAGATTTTCGTCCCACGAGTTGCGTAATGCTGACTTGTTCTCTAGATTCCATCGCACGCTCAGCCGCCCTTTCTTTTCCAGAGATCGGGTGACGCACTTTGATATATTCGACCGACATGCCCTATCCACCATTCAAAAGATGAAAGATCGGCTTCGCCTCGGGGCGCCCGTCGACTTTCAGGACCTAATTCAACGTTTCACCATGGATACTGCTACCGAGTTCTTGTTTGGCGCCTGCGTCAACAGTCTTTCATCGTCACTTCCTTATCCTCATGACGATGCATCGGCCTCAGATGCGGACACCTTCTCGGATGCGTTCTTAAAAACGATGCTCGTTCTAGCCCAGCGTGAGCGGACAATGTTTCTGTGGCCGCTTCTGGAGATTAAGAAGAACTTGTTAAACGAGCATCTGGACAAGGTGAACGCGTACATCTACCCCATCATTGATGCCGCGATGCAGCGTAATAAGCAAGTCGACGCTGAGAATATGAATGGAGACGAGGACGACGCCGGAGACACCTTGCTGGATCATTTGGTTCGTGCGACAGATGGCAAGTACCTTAATTCCACGGCCTTGACATCGCTCTGATCCCAAACTGTTAGACGTGTCTATCATACGGGAAGAAATGTAAGTTTCGAAGCCTGCGTCGTGCCGGACCATTTTAGACTCACCGGTTGCTACCAGCATTAACATCCTCATTGCCGGCCGAGATACTACTGCATCGACGCTGTCCTTTGTCGTTTATTTCCTTGCCACGCACCCGGAAGTCATGGCCCGACTTCGAGCTGAAGTTTTCCAAGTTGTGGGACCACATCGTCAACCAGGAATAGTGGATGTTAAGGAGTTAAAGTACATGAAGGCGGTCATAAACGGTGAGCGCGTCCTCGAATGTCTGGACGGGTATCTAAGTCTCGTGTTCATCTAGAAACGTTACGGCTCTTTCCACCCGTGTATGGCGTCTTTGCTCCGTTCTCCTTTTGTATGAACCTGACCTAAGCGACTGTAGACCGGCCAACGTTCGTGAAACGGTTGAAGGTGCTCTACTTCCCCCAGACGTTCCTGGAGAGAAGCCCATCTATGTTCCCCCGCATACGCAGTGAGTATTTGCCTTGGTAAAACAACCACCGCTTCTGAGGCTGGACAGAGTTGTATATTCAGTGATGGTGATGCATCGAAGAAAGGACCTGTGGGGGCCCGACGGTCAGCATATTCTCATTCCTTTCGCATCGCATGCCGTGCTCAGTGGGTTTCAGCTGACGAGTTTGACCCCGACCGATTCCTGGATGAACGCAACAAGAAATACTTTGTCCCAAATCCGTTCATATTTCTTCCCTTCAACGCAGGTCCACGTATATGCATCGGGCAACAGGTGAGGCAACTCGCATCACTTTCTCATCGCCTACTGATAGCGACATAGTTTGCTTTCAACGAAATGTCTTTCATGCTGGTGCGACTGATGCAG